TAAATTTTTAATTGTACTTATAACTGCTGTAAAGAAGATTGGAAACTACTTCTTTGTATCTTTTTTCTTTTTTTTCTATTTTTCTATTACATTTTTTCCTTTCTTGCACCTTCAGCTTCTTCTTTTCTTTCTCTTACTTTATATTAGTTTGTATTAGTTTTATCTTCCTTTTAAAAAGTCTTTTTTTAATTTATATATATAGAGAGGGGGGGAGGGAGAGAAATTTCTAGTTTGAGGAACTATTTTTTTCTGGATCATTACATAAGGGAACTAGATCCTTTAAAATGTTCTGGATAAAAGTGAGAAATAATCTTATTGTTAAGGTGATCTGTGGTTGTCCTTGTAGCTTTCTTTATAAACAATTAAATTATTGTTCACTCTTATTTTTATAAAGCTTCAAAAGAAAACTATTCTTTGAACTGTATTGTGCTTATTAATATTGTTATAGGCAGTAATATTATTGATAGTAAGACCCTGGGACTTAGAAATGGAAGAAATTAAAAACAATAGTATAGTAGATGGATAAATTAATGAATTAGAATGTTTAATTGCAATTGAATACCATCTGATTAGCATTCAAGTGACACTCAAGAACCACTGATTTTTTTGTTTCACACAATGCAGAGATCTGTATAACATTGTGTATAACATCTGTATAACATTGTTTCACACAATGTAGAGATCTATATAACATTAATTTCTACAACTTCTACTGAGGTTGTTATTGTGCCCATTGAAAGACATGCAGAGATGCAAAATCAGTCACAGCAGCAGGGTTTAATAGCAATAACAGTAATGTATTAGGACAAATTCCTTTAAAAATTTTAGATCTCTCATCCTGGTCTTCAGCCAGGACAATTATCATGTGACATACTTCCAGTTATATCTCCTAATTAATGGAAACAAAACTAACCTTAGAAGATTTCCTTCGGCTTCTTCTTGTCCAAACCACTACCAATTTATCTGGTTGCCTGTTGGGAAAAACAAACATATTGAGTATTAATTGTTCCTCTGTTGGTTTTAAAAGCTATTTGAGATTATAATCTTGAAAATTACACTTTCTTTGCCCATTCCTGCATACTATAGAAAAAGCTTAAGATTCATCAGCTATCACCAATATGACCTTTTTTGGGGGGGAGGGGAATCTGGTACCGCTCACCAATACTTTTTCAAATCCAGAAGAATGAAAATCCTGTTTTGAAAAACAATTCTATGTATTACACAAATGGATAGTAGGTAAAGCAAATTTAAATTATTTCTATGAGTGCCTTAATGTATATAACACACACAGATACAGGTAGTCCCCAGTTTAAGAACGAGTTCCATTCCCAAGGTCTGTCCTTAAGTTGAATTTGTATGTAAGCTGGAACAGCATTATTGTACAATACTGTATACGTGGTATTATGTAATGAATTTGAACCATTGTGTATTTAACTCAAATCATTGTGCAATTAACTCAAATTTTGGTATAACAGGCTCCGTTCTTAACTATGAGTTGTCCTTAACTCAGGTGTTCTTAACCTGGGCACTACCTGTATTCAATAAAGCAGATGAATATGTAAATTAGGCTGGGAAAGATTGAAGGCAAAAGGAGAAGAGGATGGCAGAGGATGAGATGGTTAGATA